TTTTTTTCTTCCGCATCTTGATATATATTTCCCGTTATTGTTTATCCAGGTCCTGTGCTGTCAGAGAGACAAGGACTGTAAAGACAAGGACTGTAAAGAATCTTATCTTCCCTAAAGCTGACAGCTGTTGGAGGGGCTCAATAGGGGGGAAAGCCTTTGAAGTGTGTTCAGTTACTCCACACATCAGATCCAGCCTCCATCATGCCTCATCATCTAGAAACAAGGCTCACACGAAACTCGCTGAACGGAGAGCCCCACCCCGCGCACCCGCTCTTACGCTGTCTTTCAACTCCTTCACATCTTCACTGTCTCCGTTTTTTTTGCTCTGTGCCGCGATCCATTTTGTTTTTATATTTTTCAGGAGTCTCTTTTGCAGGCCTCAAATATCGATCAGCCTTTCTCAATCGATCACTGTTTCAGCACACATAAACGTGCAGTCTCTTTCTGTAGCTGCCATTCTCGTAATCCCCCCGCAGAGGAGCAGAGCTGTACGGATTCCTCTGCTAATCGTCTGCCGAACGAATTAGTCAGTTAGTGAGTTCAACTAGGTTATCTAGATTTTCTTGTTTGTTTGTTTTTTTTGGCAAGGGGATGAGCAAGGATTCACAACTTCTCAGAGGGGATGTTTAGCATGCTGAGAGTGCCTTATGCTTTAATGTGCTGTCAAAAGGCCTGTCAAAAAGCTTATGCAACAAATCTATTAACTTGAACAATAACTTTCAGGGCAGTTACTGTCGGAATTCAGATCATCTGCTGTTCATCTGCTGTATTTGTGCTATTATGCATAAGCTGTAGGTCTTCTTTTTTTTTGTATGAATGTTGATGGTTTTGTTCAAGGTTGTGTTTAGTCTGTATTATCTGTCAATACTTGCAATTTTCAGATTCAGACTGCTCTGTTTGTAATAGAGATACACAGTTTATCACAACCATATCAATTAATAACTGATAATTACATTTGCATTGCATTTGCTGTCATCTAATGCTCACTTAATCTCAAAAAACAATAATTATTTAATGGCATATAATAACTTGGATTACATAATTGGATTACATCCAATAAAGTAATCTAACAAATCTCAAAACAAATATCCATTTATCAGATTTTTTTTTATTGTTAATCCATATACACTGCTGTTCAAGAGTTTGGTTTTCTTATTTTATTTATTTTTTAAATTCATACATTTATTCAAATTTATTCTAATTCAAATGTCTAATTTATTTATTCAAAACCATAAATACATTTATGATGTTACAGAAAATTTCTGTTTTCAATAAATGCTTTTGAAATTTACATTCATCAAAGAATCCTGAAATTTGGAATACAGTATTTAGCAGCACAGCTGTTTTCAAGATAGATACTAACAAGAAATGTTTCTTGATCACCAAATCAGCATATTAGAATTATTTTGGAAGGATCACGTGACACTGAAGACTGGAGTAATGGCTGCTGAAAATTCAATAAAATAAAATTCAATAAAAATTTTACCACATTAATTAAAAAACATCACATTTTAAGATATATTAAAATATACCACATTAAAAATGTAATGACATTTCAATATATACTGTTTTTACTAAAGTAGATGAAGCCTGAAGTAGATGCAGCCTTAGTTTTTTTTTTTTTGTTAAATATGTTACCGACCCCAAAATTTGAGTGTTAGTGTACACATGCAGATGGATATTTATGGATGTTGTGTGTCTAATATCAAAAAAGAATCTTCCTTGCTTATCTGTACATTCATTCATCCTGGAAACCAATATATTAATGCTATTACTTTTCACTTCCACACTCTTTACTACAACATCAAATCACAACTAGATCATGTAGACAGCTCCACTGACTTTAATAATTAATTTGTTTTAAATTATGAAAATATGTCTTTTTTGCACATCCGTATAGAGCTCATATGTCAAAGCATGGCACGAGGTGCTGAGGCACAGTGGTAGTTGTGGTAGCCCATGAGCCCATTAAAAGTATTCAGGGGCAGTTTGTAATCAGCCGCTGGCGTGGAGGACAGCCATTTGTCTTTAAGCACCCTCAGACTGTGGCACTTCATCCTCTCTCGCTTTCTCTTTCTCTCTCTCTTTCTGAAAGCCACTCTTCATCATCTTAACTTAGGCTCAGACGGATGGAGTTTCAGGAAGTGCGGGCAGACAACATGCTTCTCTGCCCCTCATTGGCTGAATATAGAGCCTAGCATCTGGGAGACGGAGACAAAAGATGGCAGCACGCTGTGCTCCCAAATGCGCTTAATTGTTTTCCCTCGCTTTGTTGTTGTCTGATTACAAAGGTGCGTCTCGGTATATTTAACGCAAGTTTTATTTGGAAAGATGAATAGATGAGCATACTCTTCTAAATACGGTGATGAATAGATGAGCATACTCTTCTAAATACGGTTTCAAAAAGTTGAAACTCTTGTGTTCCTTTTTTGTCATGTTTATTTGAGAAAGCCTCTGCGTCTGTGAAGCAAGAGATTCATATTGTCTATTTATTTTACGTGATTCCAGAGGAAAAAAAATACAAGAAATACATTCTTGTCTGTCGAGACTCTGACGAGAAGTGCCGCAGAATTGTTTTCCCTCCCCAAGCATTATTTTTTAGGAGAATATGAAAGTGAGCCATGCTTGCTTGAGTGGATTTTTTTATGTAATACATAACCAGATATCTGTACGCTGCTCTCAGTTATCAGTCCAGTACTATACATAATACACAAGGATTACTGTCCATTGCCTACGGCTTAGACAGCGTGCCTCTTCGCAACAGCTGCTTGTTGCGCACGCGTGTGTGAGCGTGTATGTGTGTGTTTAGGTGTGCTGAAGTGTGGAAAATGAGTAGGCTGAATCCTGCTACTTCTAGCCTACTGCATATAATCAGCCGGAGGGCTTTTAACAGAAGCGTGCCATTAGCACAGGACCAGCTTCTTCACAAGCTAATAAAGACCCAAATGGATTACGACCGTTAAATCAGTCTGATTTACTCTGGTCGCTGTTTTTCCACCGGATGACTCTGTAGTTGTGTGTGTGTGAGCATTTCTGGCCTTTTTCCAGTGCAGGTACCAAACTTCTCCCTCTCTCTGAGAACATCTGATGCATTTATGTCTGCTAGCGCCTGAATTTGTACTGTGAATGCCGCAGAGCGCGTACTTGAGAGGACACAGACATTGTAAATCTGAGCTGCCTTCCCCAAACACCCGCTGCTTACCATGGTATCTGTGAGGAGAGGCCCAGCGGATGAATGCTTAAAATGACAGGTTATGTGAAAAGGTGTGTTTTTTTGTTTGTTTTTGCTGTAAATATGTAGATCTGAATATTGGAATAAGTGAATAAACAGAACTACAAAGTAGTCAAGTGCTGTTCAATAATAGAAAAAAATCTAAACTATTAATAAAATAAACAAGCAAGTAGTGAAATAAATATGTAATCGCAAGAACTATTTATTCATTCGTTTATTTATATTAATAAATAGAAATAATAAGTAGTCATAAGTTATTAAAAAAAAAAACATTACAACATCAATGCCAAGGGCCCCCCCCCCAAAAAAACCCCCCACAATATTAATAAACTATTTATTTAATTACTTTAAAAATATAAAGTAATAACAATAGTTAACTTTACAACATCCATGTTAAGGCCAAAAAATAAAAAGGCCCAATTTTGTTCATAGCTCAAAGAATAGTTCAAAAGTGAAATAGATCAACAGACAATATGTGAAAGCAGTCATAAGTAGCACGGGTATATTTGTAGCAATAGCCAACAATACATTGTATGGGTCAAAATTATCGATTTTTTTTTTTATGCCAAAAATCATTAGGATATTAAGTAAACATCATGTTCCATGAAGATATTTTGTAAATTTCCTACTGTAAACATATCAAAACTTAATTTTTGATTAGTTTTGATTAGTAATATGCATTGCTAAGGACTTAATTTGGACAACTTTACAGGCAGTTTTCTCAATATTTAGATTTTTTTGCACCCTCAGATTCCAGATTTTCAAATAGTTGTATCTCGGCCAAATATTGTCCTATCCTCCTAACAAACCATACATCAATGGAAAGTTTATTTATTAACTTAATTCCAAAAAAGTGACCCTTATGACTGGTTTTGTGGTCCAGATCACATATGATCTATAACTGAAAGAATACCTACCAGTTAACATTATGGAAAATGTCCTGTTGTTATATAATTCCATGGTCTAACAATACAAAGCTAGTTTGACTGTTGCTATAAAAACCAGTTTGAAACAAGTTATTGGGTTTGGTTGTGCTATGTTTGAACTAGAACTGCAGAATGGATTGTTTTTTTAGCTTATTTTAAAGAAATAATGTTGCATCCTGGCATTACTTGAAAGTGTAAGGTAGTACAAAATACATTTCACACAGTAAAATAGTATAAAATAGGTTTATCACACATGAGATGCATGTCTCTTTTCTCACCTGCATTGGCATGTGCATTTCTCAACTCCTCGCACGGATTCTTTCCCATAATGTACGAATTCAATTACAGCCTCTATTTTAAATTCAATTTCACGTCACAGCTGAAGTTCCCACATTAGCCACATCACACTTAATTAGGTTTCCTCACTTTGTGAAATGCCGATTAGCATCAAGTATTACTTTCTGGCTGCCAGCTCAGTCTGAGTTACACGTCGAGTTACAGCATGAATCAAACAATCGCTCTTTAGTTTGCAGCTAATTTCTTTTTCATGCGCAATATTTCCCCTGTACTCATCCAGCATTGTGAGTAATAGAGGGCCGGTTATGTAAGGAGGAGGCAGTGTTGTGTGCAAAATGAACAGGTGGCTCAAGCTCCTCAGCACAGACTTTTTCTCGTGCCACCTCCCTACAATGTGTGCCTTTGGCCTCCTCTTCCTAAAAAGGCAAAGTTCCAGTTGGTCTGGAAACAATTAGAAAAGGTTCTAGACCGCCAAGGAATCTTTGTCACAATGTCAGCAAATTAAGTGGCTTCATTTTCTCTCACTTTCCCATCTTTTGTTTCAACAGGCAATCCATCCAAGTCAACCCACAGGCCAAAACAGCAACATTCCCAGCAGCAGCCTCACAAGGGAGCGAAGGCCGGCGCGAACGTCCGCTGTGGACCAGCACAGTCGGCCTTGTGAAGAGAGGGCTTGCAGCAATGGTGGAGTAGGATTGAGGGAGCCGCTACGGAGAGCTGAAGGTGGGCAGTCCATGTCTGAGGTATCCGGGCCCCGCAAGACGGAGCACCCGGGGCTGTCTCAGATCCCTCGCGCCGTGGCCGGCAGCAGCGTGAGCCTCCCAAGCAAGGCCAGTCCCTCACGCAGCCTGTCCTCGGACAGCGAACGGGGGCCGCGGAGCGAGCGAGGCCCTATTCCCAGGCTTCAGTCCTCCTTTACCAGCCGTCTGGGTCAACCGCCCCGTGGGCCTCTGTCTTTACACATGTACAGCCGAAAGAACGTCTTCCTACAGCACTCACTCCATACAGCCGAACTGCAGGCTCTCGCTCAGCAGGACGGTTGAAAACACACACACCGAACACTGACACATGCCTCAGATGGATACGAGTTCCTCAGTGACCGCGAGTACCTTCAGACCCACGTGTGTTACATTCAAGGCTAATTTTCCTCTCAAGCCTCAACCGAACACAGAGACTCTTCTTATCCTTCGTGGAGTTAAAGTAATCATCTATATTAAGTGTCAAAACCAATGCGTCATCTGCACTTCATATATACGTATATGCTGCTCCGATAAGTACTTTAGATTGACGGTCCATTAAGGTGAGAGATTCACTCACTACACTATCACATTGTACAGTTCAGCTGAAATGCTAGAGGATGTCGACAGTTTGCGTTCCATTATATCATTAAAAGAAATACAGGGTCCAACATTAGCACTTGCCAAGACTCCAATTCAAGTAAAAAAATTGGTTTTGGCAAGTTTATTTAACCGTTTGCCCATTAACTCTATTAGGAACTGTAACATTACGTGGTTTATATTGAATTGTATAAATGATAATCTGACCTTCGCTGCTGCAAGTTATCAATTAATTTTCAGACATAAGAACGGTCTATTAAAACCAAAAGTTTCTTGTGTTTCTCCAGATCTCCATTTGGTGACAAATTACTGTTCAATTGTTTGGGGTCAGGAACATTTTTTCAATGTTTCTGGTTGCTTATGTTCACCAAGGCTTTTTTATATAATTAAGAGTATGATAAATAGTAATATTTTAAAATATTATAATTTAAAAAGCTATAATATAATTTAAAATGTAATTTATTCCTGTGATGGCAAAACTGAATTTTCAGCAGCCATTACTCCAGGTTTCAGTGCCACATGGTCCTTCAAAAATCTAAAAAAACTAAAATTATAATATGCTGATTTGCTGCCCTAGTAACATTTATTCTTATTTTCAAGGTTCAAAACTGTTGTGCTGTCAAATATTTTTTGTGGAAACCGTGGTGTTTTTTTTTTCTGGATTTTTTTTTCATGAATTGAAAATTCGGAAGAACAACATTTATTTGAATTAGAAATCCTTTGTAATATTATAAATGTGTGTACTGTCACTTTTGAATAGATCAACTGAATGCATCCTTGCTGAATAAAAATAATCTCTTTTAAAAAACATACTGTCCCCAAACATTTGAATGGTATATATGTGATGTATTTGATAATGTTACTCATATTAAGCCAAAATTATGTTTTTGTGGAATATGTGAAGAACTGGCACATGCGACTGAGGGGAAAAAAAAAAAGACTAATTTTGTACTGGTCATAAAAATACAGCTTCAAGACGAGTACCCAACATTTTTGGCTGGTTTCTCAATTCAACAAAAACTTTTTTTGCCATAAAGTTAATTTTGGACCCTGTAGAACCTTTATTAAAGTTTTCAAAACCGTTTTAACGCTAAGTCTTAGTCTAGACTCACAACTATAGACTTGCTTATTCGATTAAGCCCAATCAGTAAAAATTTTTATAATAGTATGTCACACAAATAGTCTTGCACGTTGTTTTGCACCAGGAAACATGACACTGAAGAACCATGCAAATATTGCCAAATCAATCCTCAGTCGAAGAGAGGGCATTGAAACTCTTGCTGCCGATAAGAATTACCCACGTGTTGTCAGACCCCTTTTAGGGAGTTTAACACTCATTAGCCTCTTCTAACTGCAAGCTACCCTTTCTCTTTTTTCATTTTTCTTTTGCTGCAAACAAAAATAAAAGATTTTTCGCACTGAATCTAAGCTAAAATAAGTTTGACAGCCCTTGTGGAAGGACTCAGTGAGAGCCTCGAGTCGTAAACACTTAGACAGACCTCAAGGCAGCTGAACTTCAAGAAAGAAATGCCCTTAATTAATCAAAGAAGTAGAACCCTCTTTGCAGAGAAATACATTATTACATTTGACATAGGTGAGGCTTTGAATTTTCATTAAAAATAGATGGCAAATAAATTTAATTAAACATGTCAGTAACTTCAGTAAGTTTAAAACTGCCATAGACAGCCTCATACAATGCACACTCTTAAGACGGCGGCTGAAACGAGGAATGGCCTCATTTGGGCAGCGTTGGGAGAACGTTGGTGTAACGTTGGGACAGTGCTGACCCGGCTTTGCGGATCAGGAGCTCAAGCAAGGACGCATGGAGGAGAAGGAAACCCTGAAGAAACACAGTCCCATCCATCCAGCAGGTCTGCTCCCTGAGGTCCAGTGCTCCAATTTCAGCAATCTGTTGGGAGCACCATCGCTTCCTCTCTCTCTATCTCCTTCTCCCTCCCAGACCTACTTCCAGCTCTCTGTGTGATCAGGCTCAGGGAGAGAAAGGCTTTAGCGCGGTCTCACCACTACATGCTCCGATACTGAAATCACACTCCCTAAACTGGAACGTGTTTGTCTTGTTACGGGTCCAAATCAAAATTTGTTAGGAGTCCAAAATTAACATTTGGTCATCAAATGTTAAATATGAGTAAAATTGGCTTTGATATGTACAGTAAATAAAATGATTGGGAACTGGTTATTAAGGTCGGGCTTCCAAAATCAAAATTCTAATAAAAAAGTATATAATCATTATAATCGAATAAACATTTAGGGCCAGATTTACTAAACCAGGCAAATTAGCGCGAGAGCGCAATTCCAAAACAGCGCCAAAGGGTGTGGATATTTCTGAGGGTGATTTACTGACAACGCGCAAATGAAAGCAAACAGACACAATATCTCATTTACATATCGACCAACGCAATATACCAAGCGCACACGTTAGTAAATCAGTTAGTTACTCTCCTCCCATAAATTTTGCATCTGAAAGAGAAACTCCTACAAGTGCATATTCAATAAGATCAGGTGTCCACGCTTTTTCAGTCTTTAGTAAATCCTGACAGTACTATTTTACTATTCTTACATTACTGTTGATTTAATTAATGCTATTATTAATATTTTTAAAGGGTTAGTTCACCCCAAAATTAAAATTCTTTTGTTTTCTTTGCGCACAAAAAGTATTCTCGTAGCTTCGCAAAAAAAAAAAAACATTTTTACCGATGTCCTTGCTACGTTTCTGTCTGGGAACATTTCAGTTGCGTTGCTGTCTATGCAGGGTCTGAGAGCTCTCAGATTCAATCAAAAATATCTTAATTTGTATTCCGAAGATCTGAAGATTGAGGTCTTATGGGTTTTGAACGACATGAGGGTGAGTAATTAATGACAGAATTTTCATTTTGGGGTGAACTAACCCTTTAAAGTATACTTTGCAAATTGTTTTATACATACAAAAATAATATACAACTTTTTTATAAAAAGAAAAAAAGCTCTATAAAACCATGGTCAGATTTATTGACCATGGCCTTATTGACCATTTTTAATCTTTCTTTTTCCATTTTTAAATCTGTTTAATTCATGCATCCATCATGTGCAAGGCAAACAGTTCATTTTGGACCCTGCTTACGGTATTTCAGAATGACCTCAGGAGAGCAGACTGCTGTTAGTCAGCCAATTTGAGACAATTCAGCCCTCGATAACTGCGGTCAGCAGTACTGTTTAAATTCTGTGTGGGTGCCAGTTTGTGACTGGTGAATGTTAAATGCGTGTTCCCAGAGGCAGGAATTGTCCTCGTTCCTTCCTGAGCCTCCCTTGTGTCTTTGACACATGATTTTAAACCACACGTTTGAGCCATGACGCTTGAAGGACGGACATTTAAACAGACTTGAATATGCGGGATCTTGAGTAGAATCCGTGCAAGAGCGGGAACTCATGGATCTCGAGTGACTCAAATCATTAACATGACTATATGTGCCATCACATTTCTGACTTCAGAATTCTTTATCGTTGAATAGATATTTATTTGGCCTTATTTATTATGTAATATTGTAAAACGACTAACAACTTAGGCTTTTATTTGTTTGTCTGTATCAATGCATATAAAATTGTCTTCATTGCAGATGCTGTTGCTATGCTGAAATCATCTCTTACATAATTTTGATTTTCTTTTTTTTTCTCATCAGTATGTACAGGGTTTGCATAACAATGGCACTTTTAAGAGATTTCAACTCTAATGAGATTTGAAATAACCTTTATCTGTATCTTTTCTCTCACTGGTGGTTTTCATTCGGATTTTCACTGAATGTAATATATTCATTCATTAAAGACTGATATTCAAAAAAGAAATGGTTTTGATACACGCAAGCCCTGGTTTTTGTTCTTAATAGGATGGTTTCCACGTTTAAGGTTTCCATTAACCGTTTTTCCAGCACTGCTCCATCAGTACACCTGCCCCTTGATGTTTGACATTATTTTTAATGTTCGAGGAGGGTACACTGTAAGCAATGTTACTGTTTACAATCATCATCTCTGGAAACTAGGCAGGAAAATGCTATTGCTTTGATGGCCTGCAAGAGAGCCTTTTCACTGGACTGCCCTTGCTTCTTGGTGAAAAGGTAAAATGTCATCCTTCTCGAAACGTCTTCTGGAAATTGCTTATTGTGTTTCCTTTAGTGTATTGCATCAGACTATAAGGCTCAAAAGCCTGTGTGAACATCACATGGTCCCTGTCTAAATCACTCTTTTTCTCTGATTTCTGTTCAGGCTTCACAGTCCACTTCAACTGTGCAGGTTTCACAGCACATACCGCTGCTACTCTTAGTCATCCATAACAAGTTTTCTCCAGCTAAAAGGAGGGCAGAGGGAGACCGTCAACTTCTGGCCAAAAGTAATTGCACTGCTCCGCAGGGAGGAAAACCGGTACCGTAGAACTCTGGGAATGACAAGTGTTTGTTGTCTTGATGTAGCGGTGGGCTGACTTTGATGCACAGAGGTGTATTTCTCTGTCGCTGCTCATCTGTGTCTTCATAAATTTGATGTGGTTATGTATGACATCTGCGTGAGAAATTCTCAAGAATCTTCTCCAAAATTGTGTTTCCACTGTTCCCAGGGCTGATTTTCCACAGTTTCTTTTTGAATTTCTTTTAAAAACAAATGTCGTGGTCATTCAGTCTTCATCTCTATAAGGTGTGACTTTGTGATATTTCATGTCATCATTTAGGGTGTTTTCATACCTTGGAGCATTGATTGGGAAACAGTGTTTTTTTTTTTTGTATTGGTGTGTATGAACTTGGCAGTCAAATTTAGGTCAGCACCAGAACAAACATATAAACTCTGAAAAAAAGATATGACTAAAGAACCATCCGATATCCCTTCTGATAAGGTAAAATGATAAATGATATATACTGTTGAAAACCATAAGTATATCTGATCTGTGGAGCAAACATGCCTCTTCTTTTAATAAATCTCCTGAGAAAAGGTGCTCATCAATGCTATACTTTGTGTAATATGTATATTTGAATAATTTGTTTAGCATTGAAAAGCATGTTTTCCCAGAAGATTTATTAAAAGAAGAGGTTTCGTTATGAATTATGTGCAAACCCACACTACACTATTGTTCAAAACATTGGGGTTGTAAATATTTTGTAATATTTTTGAAAGAAGTCTCTTATGCTCACCGGAGCTGATCAAGAATACAGTAAAAATGGTAATACTGTGAAATATTGTTATAATTTAAAAATAATTTAAAAAAAAAACTTTTCTATTTTAATATTCTTAAAAATGTCATTTATTCCTGTGATGGCAAAGCTGAATTTTCAGCAGCCATTACTCCAGTCTTTAGTGTCATATGATCCTTCAGAAATCAATATCATAGGCTGATTTGGTT